ATGTTACAATCATCCAGATTCAGAGAGTAAACAGCTTGCATACGGATAAAAATAAATTGAGAATCTATACAAATATAAACAGAGATATAAGACAAAGATATATTTTTATATACTAATGTTCACCCAACACAGGGCTCAAGGGCCACTCATAGTAGAGGCTAACTGTGTAGTGTTGTATGAAGGTAAAGAAGGGCAAGAAGAGATGTTCCTGGAACTATGCAGGAAATATAGTGGTTAACGCTCGGCTTGAATAGGTCAAGATTGTAGTATTGGTTTGGTGCATAATTATCAGGCGTTTTTTTAAAAGCGAGTTATTTGTTAATAAAAATTGCTGTTTTTTTAATAAAGATATTTTATTTTCGGGTTATAAAAATGTGTGTCGACGCTCCGGAATAATCATTTAAAAATGTTATTGTTGAATTGTTATGTTTCTTTTTTCATAATAAATATTGCTTAAAAACGCCTGATAATTATACACCAACCTAATAATTGGCTAAACACCCTGTCAGGAGTCTATTAACAAAGCAGCAGTTCTTGAGAAGAAGTTGTCTGAATGGAATTTACTTCTTTTCAAACTCTACATTGAAGCTATCCTAAGGGAACTGGAGACCCTACCAAGATGGTTGCCGTCATCTTAACAATATAAGATACGCAGATGACACTGATTTGATGACCGACTGGGAGAGAAAACTACAGGACCGAGTGGTAAAAGAAAGCGAGAAAAATGGACTAACGATCAACTGCAAGATGATAGTCTGATCGTCAGCTAGAAAAAAGACCATGACGCAAGTTAGAACTGGAGAGATAAACATCAAGCAGTTGCGGAAGTTTAAATATCTTGGAAGTATTTTAACAGAGGATGGAAAAAAATGTTGTATCGTCGAGGTGAATGATACACAGAAAAGAATGAGTGCTTAATATATTTATTCAGCACCAGTATCCGGTGATAACGGATACATACAAAAAACATAGAACAATAATTTACAAAACAATTAACAAGACAACTTACAAGGAATAGAGGAGGGTCAAATGCTGTATAGCCAAGCGACGTAAGATGTTCAAATATTAATCAGCTTAGTATCAACTTATTAATCAATTATAGAAGTCCTTAATCGTAGACTATTTAAGGCAATGAGCCAGGCCATCTGGTAGATTGCTGAAGGGGTGCTAGCTACTCTACAATAAAATGCAACACCGACATTCGAACACGCATTGGACTAGCAAAAGAGGTATTCCAAAAGCTAAACAAGGTGCTGAGAAACAGAAAAATTCGTTAGAAGCAAAGAAAATAGTTATAAATTGTGTTATCCATCCTCTTATATGGCAGTGAAAGTTGGACAATCTCCTCACAGACGAGGAGACACGTACAGGCAATAGAAATGTTGTTCTATAGAAGGCTACTGAAAATTCCATGGGCGAAGCGAGTAAGCAACAAGGACGTTTTAAATAAAATGGCAGCAGAAGAACACTTATACTCAAAGTCTGGAAAAGACAGCAGAAATTACTTATACATAATCAGGAAGGGTGGCTTGGCAAACTTAATCCTCACGGGACATATTGAGAGCAAGAGTGATAGGAGAAGGCGACGAACCACTTAGCCGAGGAGCTTTTGTAGATGGATAGCGGAACGGATGGCGGAGCTTTAGCAAAGGGGAAAAACTGCTAAGCGCCACATGAGATAGGAAGATGTGGAGAGCCATGATTACCTATGTCTTGAAGGGATGTGGAAAATAGTAGAAGAAGATTGTAAAGAAAAAATATTACTTTTTACCCGCTTTAC